GGTGTCAGCGTTAAATGTGTTACTGACTCTTAAACTTTGTGGCATTTGCTCTTTTCGCTCTTTGTCACTGTTGAAGGACAGGTTTGCAGGGAAGTGTGAGACGAGTAACTTTAATTCATTTAGAAGCCTGCCATTCAGTTTCAGTCCATGCTAACCTTTGTAGTGTCGACTCTGCCTGTTGTTTTCGGGACACCTCTCTGTCTCCAACAGTTACTAATGCGATTGGACAACGGCTCAGCATCTGCTCCCTGTTTACAAGTCTCCTCGGATGTGTTGCATGTTTCTTGCCACTGTTTGTTCGTCGCTGCTGTGCTGTGTCTCGCTGCTGGTCAGAGTCGAGCGAGCCGCCCGGGGCGGGGTCAGGGATGGTGGCCGGGCAGTTTCTTCACATGCCGTGGTGATCCGTGACTGTGCTGGATGCCGGGAGAGATTCTTGACCTTGATTTGTTTCATTTCTGCTCCGGGATGATTTTCCAGCATCTCTTCAGAAGAAGTCACGTCAGCTCTCTTTAATAGTAATACACTCTGTGTGTGACACTATAGTCCATAACACGACGATGACAAATGGGCTGTTCGTTTTAACTGGACACAATATCACCGTAATATCTCAGTATTTTCAATAGTTATTTAGATATGTGTGAGACTGATGCAGCAGAAATGTGTCCAGGACCTTTGACATGTCACACATTTTATTAATAATCTTCTTTTTTCTCCTTCAGGTTCAGTGTGTGGTAAATAGCTGCTGTCCCTCAGAGTTCTCTGCAGAACGGTGAGTTCAGCTTTTTAGTGCTATGTTGTAGAAATGTACCACTACGCTCTCGTCATCTATTGTGGAGACAATCTAGTCAACAAAAAGAAAAAAAATATGTTTGAAACATGCGAGACACGTTCGGTATCATATATAAGGTGACATCTGCTGACTACAGGACTCGTTCAAAGCTGGAGTCCCTCCAGTGATGGTGGCCAAATGAGGGGTAACATTACCTGTCAGTGAGAAATGAAGCGGCTTCGTGTTCGGTACGAGACAGAGTTCATAAACAGCGGTGTCACTTATATCGGCGCATGATGCCAGCAAACATCACTCCTGGTATTCAGCTTTACAACACAGTGGATATTCGCAGTTTCTCTTCCCCTTTTCACGTCTTTTTTTCCATTCGGTGTATCTGCTCCAGTGTTTCTATTTTTAGAATTGTTCAAGTAGCAGGGGATCCTGCACTCTTCCCCCATTCCTTTGCTACATCTCCTCCATTTACCCCCATTTCAGCTGAATGTCACAAGCCCTGCTCCTCTGCGTCAGGTTGATTCATCGTAAGCCGTGCAAATATGTGTATATGTTGCAGCTGTGCAGTAAAAACAAAATTTAAAAAGTCATCAGCGTCGTTGACTGTTGGGGTCTTTAGGCGAACAAGACGACACCGACTCATGTCAGTGGTCGATGTTTAGCTGTTGTTGTTTTTTTTCTCATCATTCAAAGAACTTGGCTTCGATTTTTAAGTGTTATTTTATATTTTTTTATAATGACTATTATTGATTTATTTGTTTTTGTTACAATAAAAACAAGTGAACACACTTATTGGTTTACTTTTGCAATAAAACACCCCTGCTGGTCATTAGAAAGCATGCAGGCACTTATATGTTATATACAGCACAGTCTGGATTTTGATTTCACTTAGTACCTGGAGGTTTGGATATCTTGGCCTCTGCTGTCCCAGTTTTGATCAGTGTAAGCCTCTTGCTGGTGCTCATTTTATGGTTGAGCACGTCTTTAAAGCAAGATATCTTAAGTTGAATAGATACGTTATCTCTGAGAGCCAGGGACAGCTCCGACCTGCGCTGTTCTATTGACAAGAGGAGACATTTACCGTCCTCCTTGTGCGCCTCCTAAATAGTCTTCATTTTCGTGCTGGGTGCCCGGGGAGGAGGAACTGTCAGGAAGCGAAGAGGGCCATCTTGAAAAGACTCTGATCGCCGCGGTTCACAACATGAGGCCTGCCCCCGCGGGGCTCAGGTGAAGGCACCCTGCGGAGAACTTCCTAAGGACTGTTTCATTTATCCCAGGGTGAAGGTGGGGGCGTAAAAAAGTATAGAAAATCATAAAGCATCATGGCCAGCTATATCTGGCTTCGTCATCTGCTGCTCCCGCTGAGCAGACACTCCTAAACCGCAAACATCTACCTCACGGCTCGACAAGCATTCGCTTCTGAATCGACCCCAAGCACACACACACGAATACAGACACACAATGCACATTTGGCGACACAAGCACATATTTGTTTGCTTACATCTTCTAATTAAAAAACAGCCCCTTTCCATACAGACATGCGAACCAGACCTGCTGTTAATTTCCATTATTTGTAATGCTAAATTTCCAGCCAATGCCTTATTCTGTGTGTGTGTGTGTGTGTGTGTGTGTGTGTGTGTGTGTGTGTGTGTGTGTGGCAGTAACATTCCCGTAGTTTCTGTGATTGGAAACACAGCCAGCAGTATTGTGCCTCACCGCCATTATAGTAATGAATATTTAGTGCGGTGTTGGCGAGATAGCTGACACTGACCCAGCTACGATGTGATGCTGCTGGGGTGAAAAAGCATTTGACAGCATTTCTGTATTTTTTTTAGTATTTTTCAGCGAGTTGGCGATGTGCACAGTGACCAAAGCACCTGATTTAAGAAGAAAGGGTAGCTCAGCTGTAGACTTTGTGCTGGTGCTGCTGAGGTTACTCCTTCAGATGATTGAATCTTTATGACCAAAAGAACTAGGCTAGACATATTTCATAGGTGTCATAAGTACACGGTTTTTATTCATGTGTATAAATGCAGCAGTGCACATTTGGAGGGCTACACGACCCATGTATCAGGGAGGGAATTGGGAACAGGCCTGTAAGTCACTTTGTATCTAAAAGTAGGAAAATTGATTCTGTTTATTCAGATTTGACTGACTCCAAATTCGAGTATGATTCTTCACCACATCTGCCGGCTGCAGTGTAAGCGATCCAAACTCCAGTTTGTTTTTCCCGAAACCAACATCCACCCGCTCGTCTCGCGTCACATGACATCTTTGTGTCAATATCTCTCTGTGCAACTTCCTCTGTCACCTCATATATTTCTGTCCAACGTGTTTCTGACCAGTCTGACGCTGACCAGATGCAGAAGATTAGATGACCACATGTTTTAGTTACAGGAACCCTGTAGCAAGCCGAAAGCAGATGTGGTCTACGTTGCTCAGGAAACAGATCAAACTTTTCCTGAGGAATCGAAGCAAAGTTCGATGTTTCCACAATAAATCTTTTTTAATATGTAAAAAGTCAAATATTTTAAATATTGGGCTAGAAAAATGAGAAAATGTGCAGCTGTTTATTGAAACATTTGCAAACAGGCCTGTTTTTGTTTTTGTTTGGCAAAAACTGTTTGTAAAATTCTAACGAGCTTGAAAGTCAATATTTGATATGAACACCTTTACTCCTTAGCACAGTCTGAGTCTCTGAGGCAGCTTTCTCTCATGTCTTTAAGCATGTTCAGGAAGAGTCCTGCAGCCTCTGTGGAGGACAGTCAGAGCTCTCCTCTGGATGTTTCAGTAGGGCTGAGGTCCCGGCTCTGGGGAGGCCAGTCCATGACTGATGGTGTCCCACTCTGTGTTTTTCCATCCGGGTGTCCTTTTACTGCATTTGGGATCATTGTCATGCTGAAAAGTGAATCTGCTGCCAAACACTTTGTAGATTCTGACGGTACTTCTCTGTGTTTATATTTTCATCCGTTTTGATCTCCAGCACCTCAGGCTGAAATGCTGCCCCAAACCGTGTCAGAGTTTTCACCATACTTTACAGAGGGCTGCATGTGTTCACTGTAATATCTCTCTTCTGAATTCTTCTTTTCATATTCACACACTTCAGCCTTTTCTCCCTGCTGGACAGCCATCCTTCTACTGAGACCTTTTCCGATGAGGTTTCGGTGAACAGCAGATGGATCAGCTGAAGGTACAGGTGCAACTCTCAGGTCCTTACTGGATTTTTCATTTTTCTTAAGGACATGACTTTCAGATACTGTTCATCTGCTGCTTTTATCCTCCACTCATCCAGTTTCATCAACATTTTTTATGACACACTGCAAACCTGCTGGGAAGTGTCAAATTTCCAGCTAATAGCTCTTTGGGAATCACTTTGCTGCCTCTTAAACGGCTTTATCTTTGATATTTTACATGCATTCAGTGAAATAAATCAAAATGAATTTCTCAAGCTCGCGTTGGGGAAAAAAAAAATCTGTTTCTTTGGAAGCAAAACGTAAAGAAATGAGGGGAGGCTCAAGACGCTTGCACAGTACTGTACTTTGGGCCGATGTCTTTACTCGTAGCAGCTTGTCAAGTGTGTCTACCAAAAAAATCAAATCCAGAGAAACACAAGGAACAAGTTATTTGGTCAAAGTGAAAGCCTGGCTGCAACAGTATTAGTTTTATTGGTAGAGAGGAGACGTGATTGTGTAAAATTGGCTTCTGCCTCAAAGTTCCTTCCATCATCTGTCCTCTAATCTCAGATTCTCATCCTCATGAATCATTTCCCTCTGATGTTGCTCTTGGAAAGCAGCTGATTAGGATGCTTTGCTGATGAGCACAGTGTGCTGTGTGAAAATCAACATCAGCATTGTAAAGTATCATAAAATAAACATCGCCTTATTTCTTAATAGAATTATGTTCCAGTGTTTTGGCTCGTCTCACTTCAGATGCCTCATATGTTATGTGTGATCCAGCAGCCAGAGCGGTTCAGAGCACCGGATCACTTTGATTAACGCGTCTTTATATGTGAAGAACACATCTGGAGCTGCTTTTTTTCACACTTATTACCGACACCCTGTTAATCTGCTTGTCGTTTCCTTTTTTTCCAGCATGTAACTGGTTATTGAACTTGTCTGCCCGTCCGTCCTCGCCTTTGACCAGACCAACGGCGAAGCGTCCGGTATCAAAGCCCGCATTTGTTTTGGAAGCTGGAAAGCAGTGACCAGATGTGAAAACAGTGCAGTCATTCAGGCAAATCTGCAATAAGCAGCTGCTGTCGCTGATAGTGTAGATTGAATCCTGCAGACTCAGTCTGCTTAGTGTTCAGTGACATCTGTTTTAAACCGCATAAACTGCCAGACAGAGCTTTAGACCGTGATTGAACTTTTTATCGCTACAATGCCGGGATTGTGTTTACATATCTTCACTTTAACAGCAGCTCTGTATACCTCTTGGATAAATTATTAGGTAGGTATTATTATTTGGTTCTGACATATTGTAAATATAGTCACTGTAGGTATGACTCTACACTTGTGGCATGTAATAAACCCCTTGGATAATATACGGGTGTATCAGAAAGAATCATCTGATTTCAAAGTGCTTTAATTCTGCAGACATTCACTGCTTATGTCATGTCTGAATAGGGCTTCCTGTCATATTAAAGTTCGTCACGTGATGTCA